AGTCATGGTACTCATTTTCGTAGTTGGCCTAGACTTTGACTCCTGCGCCAGAGCCCACGTCAGGGTTTTAAGAACTCGGAAGAATTTTTGACTAAATAAAGAGACCCCGCAAAACCAAAACCATTTTCATCCTGAGCGCACTTTCATCGTTGGATCATGCGTATTATAGCAGTAGCACCACATGCGGCTTGCTTCCAATTCTCCCCTCCCCCTCCTGTTCACCTCTCAGCAATTTTAACATTTTCATTTGCTGTATTTTTAGTTCTATAACGATCTCACGCCAATATTGGTGCGACTCCAACAGAAAGTCAGTGATTTCTCGTTTGCTCGTCAGACGGAAAAGGAAGATCTTATGCGATCGATGCAGCAGAATATTGTCTCTGGAGGATCTGGTGGCAGCGGAGGTGGCAGTGAGTGAATAACTACTCGGTTTCTGAGTTCCTCTGATAGAAGTAGCTCAAAGTTGACTGTTCAGGTGCGGCTAAATCGCCTCCACCACGTCCTCCACCACCCGCCACTCGTACCGAAGTAGAGCCACCGATTCCACCACCACGAACCCAGCAGAGCCTACAAGGTATGGTTTATGTTTTCACAAATGTTATTAAAAATAGTGCATTGATTCTGCAATAGCCTATTAATTTTATGCGAAGAAGAAAAGGTCTCTCATCGTAGTATGCCAGCTTCATTTTTTTCTAGACAAGGCTCATTGAGAAAATTCATCTCAAAACGAGCGTGCTCACGTAATTATCAGTCACTTTAATATTTCGCCATCTGGACTGGAAACGAGACAATGAGAAACCAACTGTATGCTTCATGAGTAAAATAACTTTTCATTGCACACCCTCTCTCCCGCCTCTAGGGACCAGAAACGGGTTTATAAAAGAATATACTGTCGTCATCCACGGACTTGATTAGGGGCAAGGGTCGCAGACGCGGCTGCGGCGCGTCACGACCGCGGCGATCAGCTGTTTCCAGCCTATTTAGCCATTTTCTTCCTAATTTTCACCGTTTTTGGCTATTTTTCTTAAGGTTAGTTGTTCGTTGTCTTCACACGGTGAACTATGATTGAGATTCTGCTCTAGACCGATTTTATGTCGTAAATTGAAAGTTAAGCAGAAAACTGAACAAATACATGCCTGTGTTTACGCCGCGGTGCACCGATACGAAATTTATCCCACAAAATGCTGAGTTGTGGGCAAAAGTCGGACCACGGGCGGGACTCGAACCCGCATCTTCTGCTTACCGGCAACGCAACTGCCCGGTAAGCAGAAGATGCGGGTTCGAGTCCCGCCCGTGGTCCGACTTTTGCCCACAACTCAGCATTCTTGTGATAACTTTCGTATCGCGCACTGCGGCGTAAAACAGCAGTTATCAAACAAAACAGTCTAAAAACTTGTAAAAAGCCTTCAGCCTTGCGGTTCACTGCCGATATCGGCTAACCGGCTCATCACGTTGAACGTGTGAGTGCTCGAAGGCAATGGCACAAACTAGCCAATGGAAAAAATAACAAAAACACTATTGCAAAGCATTCCATGTCCTAATATACTTCATAAAGACAATAAAAACTATCCTTCGAAAAAATAGAAAATACAGTGAAAAATGGGGGGAAATGGCCAAATTAGACTGGAAACAGCTGATCATGACGCACGCAGCCGCGTCGCAACTCTTGCCTCCCTGATCAAGTCCCCGGATGCCGGCTGTTAATTGCTACTTAGGCGCAATTCGGCTAGAGAGGGGAGGGGGGAGGGCATTTTGCACTTTGGTTAGTTCTATCGACGTGTCGAGCCATCTAGACAGCTATTTAGTGAGCTTACAAGGGTTGACAGGTTTCACCATGGTTCCGACAAGCTTGCTGCAGCTTCGCAAGAGTTCAGGCGTTCTATATGGGCTAGACTTGTAGATAGTGGAGCAGCGAAATTGCAAAATGCTCCCCCCCCCCTCTGCCTTCGCAGAACTGCCCGCGTGCAATATGAACGTCAAATAACCACTTTCCAAACATCTGTAAAAGACACCGGAAAAGAAATCGGCAAAAGATCGGGACGGTCCTTGATACGATTGGTACGTATACGTACGGTCTTTATTGTGCTCACCAAAGTACCGATCCACGTACAGTCTTGTTCGCTGTGGACGCAGAAGCGTGTCAGGGGACCCGGTTAGGCGCAACGCCAGCGCATTTTCCTCCAGTTGTGGTCAGCTGCCAGCTTCCGCAACTGAGCGGGTTGGCGTCGCCCAGCCTGGTCTTCCTCAGACACGCCCCAGCCCCCTAATACCGAACAAGACTGAATAATGTCGTCATTTTTGCTTGCTTTACTCGTCAGTGATTCAAAGCTTGTGTCGTGTGTTGCTGAACTTTGATGTGCTATAAACCAAGCGATGAAGTCAACTAAAGTACCTGTGGATTGCATATAATATTCATGTTGTGTGGTTTTTCCTTCATAATCTATTCCTCCCTACAGCTGTACCGGGAACACCGACAGGACAAATGCAACAACTTGCTCCAGCTCCTCAACTTCCACATCCAGGATATTATCAACAACCCGTGCCATATGGTACGGTATTTTATGGGGTTTTATTAGTTCACATCCGTTTGCCTCTAACCAACTCTAAAGCTCTTAACAAAGGCTTGTTACTGAAAGTTAATGTCTATTACACTACTGCAATTTTATTCTAGGGGGGTGGTATTCAAGAAGCTTTCCACCTGTATTTTCTGCCACTAGAATTCTATTAGTATCTTATGCAGTCAACCACAGCCATTCTTGTACCAGCCGCAGTACCAACCAAACTTCGCAAATCCTTACCCGACATTCCCAGGAGCGTTCCCGAACTATCAACAATATGGTCAATTCCCTCCTCCACCACAGCAACAGAATCCCTTCGCTCCTGGATACAACACCCCACAGCAAGGATTCAACGCGCAATAAATGTGACAGTTTCCACCGTATTCCCCCTTATTTGTCTCTGTTGAGTTCATCTTGTTTCTTGTGATTTAGTAACGCTACATGTGAGATGAGACTTTCTGATGTAAATTTAGCCTTTCAGCGAGTCGGTTTTTTCTGAGAAATCATACATTCCTTCCTTTTAAGTTCTGATAAGTTCAAGAATACCTTGGTTCTAGCTGTACCTGCTGGTTTCAAAATGAGACGGTTTAATTGGAGCCAGGTAGCACGAGTCTGCTTAAAAATGTGTATTTAGCTGTGTGCGTGGATGAAAAATATTAGGCTTGTAAGGTATGAACTGCCTTTTCAGCATAGTTTAGTTTTACTCTCGTACGATGTCATCGAGAACTGTTTTAAAGCTCGGTTTTTGTATTGTTGTGATTTTACTTTGTATTTTTTCATTCTTCTTTGCTTATAGTGATATATAAACATCGATCCGGTGTTTCTTGTGTGCTGAAAAAAAACAAGGGTTTCTTGTTCCTACTTGGGGTAAGACTTGGGCGCTGTTTGGTTTGGAGGGGACATTTTACGCATTAGCTAGTTCCTTTTGTCACTTCATGTCAAGTAACAGGTCCCACATAGGTCAGATCTGAGACCCCCTCTTACTTCTGAACTGCCACTTTGGTCACTGGAGTTTGCATGTTTTCGCAAGTTGGTCTGTACAACGCAACCTTGACTGAGCCAACTCTGGTGCCACCACCGGGCCGAACTGCACAGTCCACATAGCAGCCTGTGGATGGGGGGGGGGCAAATGCGAGTTGATAGATGCTAAGACTTACTAGAGAGAAGGAATCTGTAGGAACTGCTCACAGTACTCTAGATAACCCCTTGAAGGTCTCTCCCTTTAAAGAAAGTTGGCACGATAAATCCCTTAACGGATACGGACGGGAGTAGGATTGATACGCCCTGGCAAGGCGGATTTCCGCGACCCTGAGCAGGCGCTGTGTAGTGGTTTTTCCTAGGAAGGTACCATTATAAGGGTCCTATCAAGCCACAACATTACTACCCAAACGCCCACCACGCCCGCCCGCCCACAAATGGACGACCGTACTTTATGCTCTTTTGCTTCAATTGCTAGGTAAAACATGAAGCGAAGGGATTGGTATGAAGCGGCTGCAGTGCTGATGGATATATCAGTTACATACATTTAGCCACAACTACCGTAGCGGTCAACTGCAACATGCCTATGGGAAACTTGTCCAAAATTGCCTTTCAAGAACGAAGGTTTTTCTCCAGGTTTGGCCGACCGTTTCACTTCGTTTTTTCGCCATTTTCCTCACTAGATAGCGCCCTGCTAGCATTTTGGGCTGAGTACCAAACAATCGTGCTAACTGCCTTTCAATTTTGCAGTTGGGACGAGCATGCGAAGAACGTAAAGCTGAAGACACACTGAACTTGTAGTTGCAGAGTTGCAACAGGGTGGTTGCAAGTGAATCATCATCAGGCACGTACTCGTTGGGGAAAGTTGTGTAGGATACACGATCCCTCGAAATTTCAGTCCTCTGGTGCCACCTCTCGCCACCCTCTTCCATCCTACCATCATTAAAAATTCTCTTAGCGTTGTGGAGTGAGCAGGCTGGGGAGATGAATGGGTGTGAGGTAGTATAGCTGGCCCCAGAGTAATGCATGTGCAAAAGAGACGTCACAAGTAAAGTGATGAGCGGCCAACTTCGGAAACGTGCACGGAAATTAGGTAGCGATCGGTATGGTACCGTCTCCATACTCCGCGGCGCCATCCTCGATGACCAACTGCTGCGTCGACACCAAGGTTCCACAGTGTAGCACCCGCTCAGCTATAGAACAACCAGACGTTAGAGGGCAAAGACTGTAGCGCGTGCGCTGTCGTAGGCATGTGGCTGGCCTTTAGAAAGTGGAACGAAGTCGGGAGACTGCACCCGGGTATCACTACCGTTCAGCCCCGTTCCCGTGAATTTTTCAGTGAAAAAAGTGGCATAATACAGTGTGGCCACATTTTCTTCACATGGTAGGAACGTGTCCCCTGAAGGTGAATGTACAGTTCGCTTCGGGAAGAATTCATAGACCTCATTCATTTATTGCGAAAAATTTGCATTCTGCATACAGATTTGCAAAATCCGGGTCTAGCATGCGTTGTCGTTCGAGAAACGGGTTTAGTGGGCTATCTCTGCCATTTTTCCTTGTGTCTTCTATTTATCCCATTACTAAAATTGAATATTGCGGCTGCATGTAGTTGCTTTTTGCATTGTTATGTTGTCACAAATAAGTGCTCAGCGTCAACTTAGCTTATCCTAACTGCTCAGCGTCAACTTAGCAGGTTCTGCCGCATTATAAATTCGTAAAGAGATGTCTTTGCCCTATTCGTTTCATCTAATTTTGTAGAAAAGTGATGACCACCTCTCCTTCTCTATATCTGTCAATGATGGGCACTATTGCCTCCGTTGGGTGCCGGTCAGGAGATCCACTTTGTGGCAATGAACAACAGCTGCCAGCTTATCTGAATAGTTGACTCGATATACTGTAGCAGCTTCACGTTTAGTCAATTAAATCCTGTTTTTGCAGCGCCGCTTCCGGCAAGTCGCTGCAAGGCTGCACTGGGCGTGCACAGACTTCCTTGCTGATTGCAATACTCTCTCTGCCCTCTTGTGACGAACGGGTCGCTTTTCGGACGGGCAAAATTGTCTCTGATTTTTTGTTTCGGCCAATTCACAGCCAACCACTTCCTTGTAGCGTTTTTTTAATACAGCTGAGTCACTTATTTCTGCGACAGCAGCATTTATTGCAACTTCGGTGATTCATATGGGAATATCGCTAGATTCTCCAGTGTTCTGTGCACGTTGGGGAGAGAATTGGTCGAGTTTTTGGGGAAGTTTTGTTCTGCTCTCTTTGAAAATTCGGAATCAAAGTATAAATCAAATTAAGAAACAGCTAGTGAGGAGGGATCAACTCCAACGAACCGTTAAGCGGACGATCAGCCACCAGTTGTCGAAGCAGGAGAGTGCAACAACTGGTGGGGAACGAACTGGTGCTGTGCCTAATCCTGCCCCTCCTGTGCCCCCTGACACGCCCCGGCGGCTGCAGCGAAAACTACAGCATATAGACAATTACCCCGCGTTTAGGTGTCCAATAGGGTCCAGGGCGTCTTCTAGAGACCAGCACCCATCAGAGGATCATAATGATGAGAAAAGTTAACTGTTCAGAACAGCCCCTCTAGCTTCTTGAATACAACCTCCTTAACAAAAACACTTCAACTTGCCCATCTTTCTTGCTTTCGACACCACTTTTTTTCTCTCTTACCTGCAATTTCCAAGGGAATGGGTCGTCGACCGGATGAGTTGAGTAGTACCTCTGTTCCTCCTCTAAAACACCCTTTCATTAAGTCAGTGAGCCGCATACGAGCCCCTCCCCTGAGCCTCATGGATGGTGTGCCATGCCATTCCATCCTGTCAACTGAGATGTAGTAGCACTCTGATGTCACTTACTGTTGCCACTGTTTTGGCAGTACTGCTATCAGTTGTAATCAGGGTTCACCATCCGCTGTGTAGACACATCAGGGAACGTTTTCCCCCCTCAGTTTTATTTTCTAGAGAGAATGCTCTGATTGGATTTTTCCTCGCGCTATGTATTCCTCTCACCAGCGGCGGAGTAATATCTGTTTCTTGCGTTGGTCGAGCTGTATACCCGACAAGACATAATCGAATTCCCAACAGGAGGGGGGGAGGCGTATTTGGTTCGAGAAATTCCCCTTCCCCCGCTCGACTCGACAGCAAAATTTTGGGGAAAAGTAGGAAAATTTTCGGGAAATTCCTAATAACCGAAAAAAATGGAAGGAAGTTGGGAAAATCTAAGAAAGTGGCAGGTAGGATGAAGAAGGGAGAGGGGCGTCGGGTTTTCCTCGCCGGTTTCTCCCGTTTCACAAGTGTTTTACATCCCCCGTCCGCTCGACAGCTCGGAAGCTAGGGAGGTGGTCGCATCAAGCCACCTTTTAGGGGGACTCGACCAAAATCCGCAACCAGATGTGCCCTGCTGCCCCACCCACTCGACGGCAAAAATTTTGGAAAATTTTCGCAAGGTGGCGGTCGGATGGGGACAGGGAAGGGGGTTCAATTTTGCAGAAATTTTCCGCGGCTTGATTGTGAGCCCTGCTCCTGTAGGCTCTTCAACATCACTTGTCAATACCATTTATTCCAATGTGTAAGAAGGCTAGCATTAGCTGTGCATTCACGGGTGGTCGCATTGTAATTGATCACTGCGGTCACTGACTTTGTTGTTTCTTTGCGGCTTTTTCAAGCTGGTATCGATCGCGACCACCCTGCTGAGCGTCGGGCACGGCCAGCGCCAGTCGCGACGCAATTTTCGCACGGTTTCACTCGATGGACCGTTTCCCTTCCACGCTTATCGCGGTCGTTTGATGACAAATTTCTTATGAATAGAGCATGGAGTGTACGATTGCTAAGTTAATTATATTTTAAGAATCCGCCATTTTATCTTGTAATTGTTACCGGGTGGCATGGCAGTACTGTTGAGCATTTTCGACTCCGTTAATATTTTTCATGAATAGTATAGCGAATTATTCACTTTATTATCGCTGAGGCGAATCTAGAGAAGCTCATGTGAACGAAATACAACAAGCGGGGGATTAACTGCTTTGAAAAGGAACAATCTGGCAATACTGGGCCAAAACGATTCGAAGGCTTGCATAGTACTGTAGGAATAGATCAATGCTCCGTAGTAGCGTTTATTTATACTTTGCTATCAAGCTTCTCTTAAATTTGCCGCACAGGTAACACATGACAAGAGGGTCCCTAAATGGCACCACTGTGACTGCACCATCGACTCCGCTCAGAACGAGTTTGTACTTTTCCGGTGGGGTCCATTGATTCTTAGTATTTTTGGCGCTGTTCCAGTAAGGGAAGGGGTGGTTAGTTTGGTGAAATAACTGGCGCGGCTGGTTCCAGTTCTGCAGAAAAAATATTCAAAGCTACAAGATATCAAAAGCTTCCTTTCCA